GTGAAAGGCTGAGAGAGATGGGACTTCCAGCCTGGAGAAAAGGCTGCTCAGGGGAGACCTTGTCACCGTGTTCCGGGATTTAAAGGGTGGCTGCAAAGAAGAGGAGACTCCCTTTTTATAAGGAGCCCCATGGAAAAGATGAGAGGTGATGAGCACAAGTTATTCCCAGGGAGATTCTGACTGGACACAAGAGGAAAATTATTCACAGTGAGAATGATCAGCCATTGGGATAATGTCCCCAGGGAAGTGACTCCCCAGCACTTAAGATTTGGCTGCACAGAGTGCTGGGACACCTGACCTTGGCCATGCTTTGCCTGGAAAGGTTGGACCAGATGATCCTTGAGGTCCCTTCCAACCTGGGATTCCATGATTCTATGATTCTATGATGTGTATCTCCTTTCCCTTTGCACAGCTTTCAAGTTCCATCACTTAATAGAGATGTTATTCATCCTTTCTCCATCAGTGCAACCCAACTCGGCTGTGTTTATGACCCTGCAAAATGACTCTTTATATATTTAGGAGCTTTAAAATCAGATCCAACTTCTCCTTTTGTGTGTCACTATCTTGTTTTCAATTGAATGCTTTCAGCTGAACATGATTTGATTTACTTCCGTGTCTTATAAATGCAAAGAAGTAGGTATATAATAATACAAGGAATAGCCACATAAAAATGACTGGGCAGCTTAAAAGAATAAAGAGAAATGGAGCACAGCCAATATTAGATCAGCAACTGACACATTCTGGTAAGGATGACAGGGTTTCAAGATCTGTGTGCACAAGTTCTACATTAAGACTACTTACTGCAGTGCCTGAAATACCTCTATTCCTGCTCTGCTCTCTGTCTTTTGAATATCTTAATGCTTTCATGGTATGCATGCACTGTTGCTGAAAGAATAATGGCAGTATTTTTTAAATACAGAATACATAGAATATAGAAAATATAGAATATGTGTATATATATGAAGGTGTACAGATTATAAGTCTATATAATATATAGACATATATATTATATATATTGTATATATGTCTATGTAATATATAGACATATATAGACGTATATATGTCAAATATGTTCTAGATAGAGTATAGAATATACATAGAATATATATCTATATAGACTATAAACCATTAAGATAATAAAGCAATAATAACAGCAGATCATTGCAGTGTGTAATTTTGCCCTCTTTTACAACTCCTTGCCCAGTGGTTCACAGGGATGGGTACAACACAGGTAATGTTTTGTGCTTAGGATCTGGGAAAAACTCCTTGTTCTACTCAAAGCCCTTTTGTCTTTGTCCGGTCTTTGGGCTGACTCCTTCTGTCATGTAAGATGACAGCAATCATTTATGCTGGTGTGAGGGTTTGGGGTCATGGATAAAATCCCAGTGTTTTCCTTTCTAGGTATGGATGTTCCCTGCTGCGGGGAGCAGGAGGACAGTGGGGGACAGCAGATGGCTGCTCCATCCTCAGAAGGAAAGGAGGAATAAATCAGGGCCTCTCATTTGCCAGGGCACTGTGGCTGGGTAGCATTGGGATGGGCAGTTCTGTTACCTGCATCTCTCCATCCATGGATGCAGGCACCAAGCCGTTAGCAGAGATGCACAGAAATATATTCCCATTAGTTTGCATGATGGAATCACCCCTTTTCCCCCATGTGCCATAACTCAGCATCCCTGACTTTTGGCTGGTGTCACCACCGTGCTCTCAGCACAATGCCAAGGTAGGAAAGAAAACCAAAGAAGCTGCAGGTATCAAGGGACCAGGTCATTTTCTCAGACATAAAAGCGTATTTTTATTAGCATTTCTGTTTCTTATGTGTGCTCTGGGAAAAGTCTATGAAATGGAGGTGATTTTTTCCCCCTGGCTCCCATGGCTGTGAAACTGCTGCTAAAATCCCTCCAAGGTTTAATGTTAAAACACCCTACTGAGGGGTATAGGAATTAGAGCAATTTATTTCATCATTTCCATTGGTAAAGTGCCAAACCTGCGTATCAACAGGACTGGGGACATTCCTGACCTCTCCTGTTTTGACTGCACACAGATGATGTGGAATTTGGGGTTTTTAGGGTTTTTCCTTTCAAATTTCAAAGGAACAACAAAGTCAAATTGGAGAATTTGGACACTGAACAAACTCTTCCTGCCTGTTAGAGTTATCCAGAGAGCTGAGGGGTAAATCCCCATCCTTTGAATGGGTGTTACTGGAGTTGGGTGGCTGAAGGCTATCAAGGCAAGGTGGTGCTGTCCTGGGGGGGTTTGGTGAGGGCTGGACACTGTGAGGATGGCCTGAGCATGGGGATGGAGGGAGAAGGAGTGAACCAGGCAGGGTTATCCCTAAGGCTGCTCATCTTCCCGTGGGAGAGGGGGACTGTACTGGTACAGCCTGCCTTTTGCTGCCCTGGCTGCTTGGACATAGGAGAGCATCTCCTGTGCTGGCCGAGAGGTGAAGCAGGTATGGACATTAAGGTCAGGGTGCCTCAAGCATGGCAAATAGAGCTGGGATCTCAAAAGCAGCTGCAGGCAGAGGGAAAACCCTGGGTTTGAAAGAACAAAGCTGTGCCCATGGGGAGTTCCAAAGGGGTTTCCTCGTATCTGTCCTGTACAAAACACACATCATAACAATCATCTGCTCCTGGGGTGAAGCTCTGTGCACTGAGCACTTGCAGGGTAGAACAATGGTGGGTTTGGTTCATTTGAGCTTTCACAGAGGCTAAAATATGCTGCTGGTATGGTGTGTCAGAGAGGAGATTCTACAGGACCCCCACTGCAGCATCTCTGGTGGGATGGGGTCTGGAGTGGCCCGAGAGCCTGGTGAGCATCCCAGGCTGAGGAAGCTGGCTTGGTGTGGTCCATTGATGGCTTTATCACTGCATCACTTGGGGGAAACATCCATCCAAGGAGCTGGGCTTGAGACCAAGCCCTCCAGAGAAACCTGTATTAACGTGGAGAGCAGCCTTTCCCAGCAGCTGGGAGGGGAGGGAGGGAGCCCGGAGGGATGCTGCGGTGCCACTGTCATGCTTTACACCCACACAAGCTCTTCCCATGCCAGTGTTTGCCCTGGCCCTGGGGTCTGTGGAGCCACATCAGCCCTTGTCCTGTGGGCAGCTGTAAAGACACGTGCAGTGTGCAGGACAGGAGGGCCCAGCAGTAAAGAGAAGCTGCTGGCTTTCCCACCCACACTGCGCCACCTTCCCCTTGCAATCGCTGTAGCCGATGCAGCCTTGTGCTGGTGCCTGTGGCTGAGCAGAGGTGTGTTTGCCCTGCGCTCAGCACCATGCTGGACTTCCAGCCACATGTAAATCTTGCAGACCTGAGCAGTGGCTGAGCCTTGCTAACATCCCTGGGGGGACCTACCCTGCTTCTGGCAGCACTCAGGGCTGAGCATCCATGGGCATCACTCGGGGCTCAGCACACATGGGCATCACTCGGGGCTCAGCACACATGGGCATCACTCGGGGCTCAGCACACATGGGTATCACTCAGGGCTCAGCACACATGGGTATCACTCAGGGCTCAGCACACATGGGTATCACTCAGGGATCAGCACAGATGGGTATCACTCGGTGCTCAGCACACACAGGCATCACTCGGGGCTCAGCACACATGGGTATCACTCAGGGATCAGCACACACAGGTATCACTCGGGGCTCAGCACACACAGGTATCACTCGGGGCTCAGCACACATGGGTATCACTCGGGGCTCAGCACACATGGGTATCACTCAGGGCTCAGCACACACAGGCATCACTCGGTGCTCAGCACACACAGGCATCACTCAGGGATCAGCACACATGGGTATCAGGGCTCAGCACACATGGGTATCACTTGGGGCTCAACACACACAGGCATCACTCAGGGCTCAGCACACATGGGTATCACTCGGTGCTCAGCACACATGGGTATCACTCGGGGCTCAGCACACGGGTATCACTCAGGGCTCAGCACACACAGGCATCACTCGGTGCTCAGCACACACAGGCATCACTCAGGGATCAGCACACACAGGCATCACTCAGGGATCAGCACACATGGGTATCAGGGCTCAGCACACATGGGTATCACTTGGGGCTCAACACACACAGGCATCACTCAGGGCTCAGCACACATGGGTATCACTTGGGGCTCAACACACACAGGCATCACTCGGGGCTCAGCACACATGGGTATCACTCGGGGCTCAGCACACATGGGTATCACTCGGGGCTCAGCACACATGGGTATCACTCGGGGCTCAGCACACATGGGTATCACTCGGGGCTCAGCACACGGGTATCACTCAGGGTTTAGGACACATGGGTACTGCTTGGAGCTCAGCACACTCAGGGTTCAGCACACATGGGTATCACTCAGGGCTCAGCACACACAGGCATCATTCGGAGCAATCCACGCTGGCTGTGCCAAGTTGCTGGGCTCAGGGCCAGCCCCGGCTCCCTCTGTTTGTTCCCAGAGGTGCTGTTGGCCTTCAGGCTGTGCCAGGTGCTTGTCCTTGCACACATGGCTTTGTCTGGCTCTCATCTCCTACTCCTGCCTGTTTGCAGTCTCCCATGGGACAAGACTCCCTCCCAGACCTGCTCCCCCTGGAGCTTTTCGCTCTGCTTTAACTCTTGCTTGGGCAGAGGCCATGGTTTCTTGCCTGCTCTGCATCCATGTTCCCACTGAGCAAGGCCACAAGACACCAGCTTATAAAGCAAAATGGCTAAGAGTTGTATTCCCTGTTGCTAACAAACATGTCTGTACAGGGCCTTTACAAGCTGTGCAGAGAACTGCCCCTCCATCTACCTGTTGCTCTCAAAGCGTTCATTACCAAAGTCCTATCAACCAGCATTAGCAGGAGCAAAGCAAAAGCACCTTCATGCTGTCCTATAGATGAACATAGAGGAGAGACAAGGAGCTCACAGCACCTTTCCAGCCCACCTGAACCCCTTTGGTACACCAGCCCCGGTACTCCCAGTGCAGAGCCAGCCATGGTGTTTGCCCTGCTCAGCAACCTTGGAGAAGTGCTCAGCCTGGTCCCTTTGCCAGCTGTTGTGGTAAGGAAACCTGTTAAAGTCATGGTCTGTCACAGGGAATAAATGTCTGTCTGGCAGCACAAGCTTATGTCTGTCTCCTGTAACATCCTTCCTGGGTCATGTCCAGGCAGGGGGGTCCGTAGCTTCTCCCTGTCTGCCCGAGGAGCCAGTGGGATTTACTGCCTGTGGATGCGAAGCCACAGCCTCCGCTTCATACCTGGGGAGAGATGGTGTCAGTCAGCTCCAGGACCCGCTCCCAGCTCCCCATCCTGCTCCTGGGCTGTCCCAGGCCCTGACACCCCTCGTGGTCCCCCGGCAGGATGCTTACAGTGGAAGCGATGGGCAATGGGGACCAGGCTCAGCAGGAGGACCAGGACAGTGGAGGCCAGCGGGACCCAGACCAGGGGGCTGCAGGCACCTGGAGGGAAGGAGAGGACTCAGCACCATCAGCTCTGAGGGATGGAGCATGAGGTGGGAAAGGGAGGAAAGCAAGGCAGGTCCTCAGAGGAAGGGTTGGGAACGTGACCATCACCTTGGGGTATCCCTTGGAGGATGCATTACACCCGAGGGCATTGCAGGGAACTCAGAGATGAGTCACGGTGCCTAAACTGAAACACATTCAGGCCCCGAAATCCGTGTACATCCCAGGGGAGCACTCCTAAAGGCAGAGGTCAGCTCCATCCGGAGTGATGGGTTTACACAGATCCAGGTGCCCATCCCTACAGGGTAACATTGTGATTGCCCCCCCCCAGGACAAACTGCCTCTGAACCCTGGGGACCTCAGGAGCTCAGCACACCCCTTTTGCACTGAGCAGACCCGGCGTCACTCATACCTTTCCTGATGGGAGCTTTGCTTTTGGTCACACACTGCAGGGGCTTTGTGGAGAGTGGGGCCTGAGTGGTCTTTGAAGGCAGAGGAAAGGCATCAACTGGTGGGTAAGGAGGAGAAGAGGACGGTCAGTGCGGCACTGGTGCGGTGGGGAGCAGGTCAGAGGGGCTGCAGGTCTGGGCTTTTCAACCTAGCCCCATCCATTGACCCCTGCAAAGGGCTGGAGGGGCCAGGAGCTCGACCTGAACCTCTCAGTGGCCACAGAAGTTACCAAGAACCTGTAAAAGCATCAATGAAATGATGTACAGGGCAATGAGGGGCAGGAGGCTGAGGGAGAGGAGAAGCTTACACCGAGCTCCCTTTACTGCCAGGCATCACCTCTTCAACGCTGCACAAACCCCTGGGCAGCAGATTTCAGCAGCACTGGGGGGGTTTGAGGGATCCCTGGGTCTTTTCTTATCCAGATCCCTCTAATCTTGGCTCCAAATTGGATTGTTTGTTTCTTTCCTGATAAAACGAGGGCAGGAATTCTTATGGTGCATCTGATCTGCAATGGGGCACATTCACCTCTTTGTAAAGGTGGGCAGGAAAGCACCCAGGAATACTACATTAAAATACCCCAATAAAATGAAATTAAAATGGCATTAAACCTGACTGCTCAAACTGCACAATCTGCAGTGATTCAAACCGGATTTGTTCTGGTTTAGGGCTGACATTCCTATGGAAATCACTGTTCTTTTACATAGAAAGGTGAGGCATTGGGTGCCTGGGATTTATCTGGACAACTTTTCCCTTACGTTATAACAGACTTCAACAAAAGGAACTTACAAACAACCTGTTTTATCAAGAGGACTCAAAGGAGGAAAAGCAAAGCCTGATCCTCCCAGAGCACCTGCTGCTGTTTGGGTTCTAATTAGAGCGTCCTTGATGGTGCTGAGTTTCAACCCTGTTTTTCGTGCCCTGCTTTGCACAGATATGGGCTCGGCTGATGAAAACCAGTTCTCCTTTATCTGCAAACGGCTTTTCTTTGATCCAGCAAGGGTCCAGAAGGGGTTTCTCAGCCAGCTCGAGGTGCAGGGTGCATTTGCAACAAAAACAACCCAGAAAGTCTGGGACTCTGGGGCTGCATCTGGGTTAAATAAGTGATTTTCCTACCTAAAAGCCTACAAAGAAAGGGCTGAATCCTGCTTCAAACATGTTAGTTTTGATACATTTTATCCTCATGCTCTGTGGTCAAGGGGAAAATGGGCTGAAAAGAGCTGCATCCTGACCCAGGGTCTGTAAAGCATCATTACCCCCCCCATGCCACCCATAGAGAGCTCTGATTTACTGTCAGAGCTCCCCAGTAACAGTGGCTTTGAGGAATAAATCCCATTTCAATGTTCTTTGTGAAGGACAGGTTCGAAACCTGCAGCCTGAGCCACCCGGAGATGTGAGGGATGATGTCCTCAGGCCTTAATGCTGCTCTTTCACATGGATGGGTAGGGAAGAAACAGGGCACACATCAAACCTCTCACCCGAAGTACCACAGGAGATGAGGAAAGCACAGGGTATCAGGGGATGAGGGTCTTCCCATGGGAATCCTAAAACACTAGGACGAACACAGTGCTCAAGGCATGACCACAGCAGAGCAACTGCTGGTGGCAAAAGGACTATTACATGCAGCTGACCTGAAATGTAGCTATTATTAGATGTGTTTTCTGCCTTATCCAGTCTCACAGGTCTCTTCAAACCCCAGAGCCCCATCCTTGCACTTCAAGATTGGGAAGGGTCCACTGCCACGCATCACCCCTTGCCCTTGCTCATCACATTGGTACATTTTGGACCCCCAGGGGTGATGCTTACCCACACTGAGCCGTGTCCCAGTGCCCAGGATGAGCTGGGAGGACTGGGAGATGGAGCAGTAATAGATCCCATTGTCCGAGGCATGGAGGCGGCTGATGCGCAGGCTGTAGGAGGTGCGGGAACTTGTTCCATGGGCACTGAACTTCTCCTGGCTCATGTCTCTGCCGTAGGTGACTTTGCCCATGGGGCTGGAAAACATCAAGAACTCAAAGTTTTGCCTCTCCTGGCTCCAGCGGTACCAGTACACCCCGGCGTGCTCCCTCCGCAGCTCACACAGCAGTTGTGTTTCATTGCCAGCTTGGGCTGTAATGTGCTTTGGAGTCTGGGTTAAAAGGAGGTTTGCACAGAAACCTAAGAGAAAAAGGGACAGGAATGAGGAGTTCTTATTTGCTTCTCATTATTTTTCTTCCATGCTAAGGACAGATGTTCTTTGTGGGATTAAACGGACCAGGTAGTTACAGACCAGGGGATCACACGACTGAGAAACAGAAGCACCTTTATCAGGATGCTCCCATATTCTTTCAGAGGACTTTTTGGGTTCTCCAGCTGTTTTTTTGGTCAAGCCTAGTTAAACATGTAGTATACCTTTACTTAAACAGGTAGTATACCTATACTTAAACAGGTAGTATATCTGTAGTTAGGTAGTATACATGTACTTAAATACGTAATATATCTGTAGTTAGACAGGTAGCATACATGTACTTAAATAGGTAGTATATCTGTAGTTAGACAGGTAGTATATCTATACCTAAATAGGTAGTGTATCTGTAGTTAGGTAGTATACACGTATTTAGACAGACTATACCCTCTAAACACTCATCTAGGGGGGAGGCTAATGCCGTGCATGGGGATGGAGGGGTGATTTTAGGGTGTCCTCAGGACTGTATGTACAGGGCAGAGCATCCCCACCTACTCCTATGGATGCCCCTCTCCCCTCCTTTTCTCTTCCATTTTTCAGAGAGGATTCACCTCTCTTTCAACAGATTTTGTTTGAGCCTGTTAACTTATTTGCCACATTTTGGTTCTAACAGATGCAACCCCGGTAAACTTCACCGCAGGTGCAGAAAAAGACCCCAAATCATGCAAAACACCTCAAAATGAGCCAATTTGTTATTAATTTTCAAATTACATTAGTTTCATATGAATTTCAGGAGCTGGAGAGGAAGGGAGGGGGAATGAGGGGTGGCGGTGGGGTTGAAAGCTTGGCTTTGGCACCGCATCGCCCTGTTTGAGTTTTGAAGCTCCTTTGCTATTATCTGAGCCGTGTTTGGCACAGGCAGATGGGAGCTGTGCCTGTGTGAGAGCCAGGATGCGTCCTTGTGCCAAGGATAACAGCGGCTTGTGATCCTTTCTGTTAAGCAAACAGGCCTACAAAGCTGCAGATAACTCAGAGACCAGGTGAAAAACAGCCCTCTGAAGATAAGGGTGCTCCCACTTCCCCCGCCTGTTTCCCAGACGTGCTTTGAAGCTGTGCAAAAACCTCAATAAAATACATTTTGGGGCCTTTTTTACCTTAAAATGTCCCTATTCCTTCAAAATCCCCAAACTGCTTCCAGTAGTTGTTGCAAACAGCCTCGTGCAGCCTTCAAATCCAGGTTTGCATGACCTGTGTCTGAAGCCCATGGGCCTGATGTCCCCCATGGGGACAGGCAAAGAAGAGGGCTCTGGTGACTGACACAGGTCCAGAGCCTTCCTCTGTCCCCACACCAATGACCCCATCGCTGTTGGTGCACCTCACAGACGAGCAGGCTTCAGCCCTAATATTCCAATGCCAAATTCAAGGCAGCATTGATGCAGTTGCAGCATTTCACCGCACCCTTTGGTGCTGTGACAATATAAATGTCTCCTTATTGATAAAATACGTGATCTTCAGGTTTTGGAGTGGAATCCTGGTGAACTTTGCTCTGGCAAACACATGGAGGAGAAGGGATCCTGGCAAAGGCTCAGCTCAGCTCTGTGTCAGTGGTCAAGCTCCAGTGGGGTGAGCTGGGGCAGAGCCAGAGCAGAAAAGCTCATCCTCTGCCACAATTTCATTCCCTAAACCCTACCCGTCCCCTTTCCCAATGTATATTCCATCAGGAGACCCCAGGGAGTTGGGGTGGGATGGGCTTGTTTCCATGTGTTTAGCTACACCACCATGCAGCAGCTCGAAAATGATCCCTTTTCCCTTTGCATGTGCAGAGCAAGCTGATTTATTGGGGCTTTCTCAGCAGGGACCCCACTGCATAGATCTATAGGATATTACTACCTGTACGCAAGTGCCTCAGGCTGTTTGCTGCCTGATCAGCTGTGCTATGCTGTAGCTGGATGACCATCACACAATGTGAAGAAACACCCTGCGGTCCTGACAGCCTCCAGCAAGGGTGCTGGGCAGCTTTGGACCCATGTTGGGCAGCATTTTGGGGGACCAACTTGAGCTGTTACTCGAATATATACATTAAAGCTGTGTTTCAAGCTTCCAATACTTTCTACCTGAGAACTGATGGCAAAAATTGTCCCTTAGAGCACAATTCTATCACTGTGCCGTGACATCGACTATAAATTCAGTTCAAACCTCCTCCAACCTGTCTGCAATAAGCAGAAGGCAGTATGGTTTTATAACACCCATTCCAGCTTGGCCCTTGGGGAACATTCAATCCTTGGATAGATTTAGAGGAAAATTTGATGGGATGGTTATTGTCTTCATGTTACAGTGGTAGCATAGATAGGTGCTGCTTTGACTTCTCCATCAGGAGCATCCCACAGCCCATCTGCACTAAGAGGGTGCAGGAAAAATGAATTCGGTGGTGTCTATACCATTATATATTGCACTTGGAATAGAGTAGGGTAGAGTAGAGTAGAGTAGAGTAGAGAGTAAACTATTTCAGTTGGAAGGGATCTCCAGTGATCAAGTTCAACTGCCTGACCACTTCAGGCCCCAGCTTCTGCACTGACCAGAAGCTAAAGCATGTTATTAAGGGCATTGTACAAAATTATGCAACGATAGGCAGTAATATAGGTAATAATATCCTGTAATCTATCCTACATTTAAACCTCCATCATGCAGATGCTGTGTAAAATCCCACGTGCTAAAGCAGGGTGGAAGAGAGGCTCCAGCATGATTTTAGATGCCCTTAACCCTTAAGAGATGCACCCCTCTTACCTGGGATCTGGAGGCAGATGCAGAGACGGAGCCACAGCCGGGCCATGGTGGTGGAGCCAGTGATGGAGGGGTTTTGTGCCATCTCCCCTCTCCACGCAGGGTCCCCTCTTAGTGGTAGGGCTGGCTTTACCCCAAGAGGTTCTTCCTCTTCTTGATGTAGACGTCTCACCAGCAGCTACCAAAGAGCATCTGCGGCAGCGCCCAGAGCTTCAACGTGGTCCCTGCGCGCTGAGCCCCACATCCAGGTGTGCATCAGGGCAGCAGCCCCATGCACTGCTCCAGCTTGGGATCCCCCCAGACCCCCTTTAGGAATAAAACCAAGGAGAACTCACTGATTTTTAATTATGATTACTTCGTATTTCATCACCTCTTTCCCCCTCCTTTATATCTAGCTCCGTGCAATTGAAAAATGACAAATGTAGGAGCTTAGCGCTAAAGATGAAAGCAGGAGGGGATAAACTTTTGCTGTTTTCTCCCCCTTTGAAACCAAAAAGCACTCAAAATAAGGAAAAGATGCAGTTTGAGCTGTGCAGTTGTTCTCTTCCACAAAATCTTTAGCACAAGGTGTTATTCTCCAGGCCTGGAAAGTGATGAACACCAAAGTAGGTTGCCATAAAGGCAGAGGCACGAGGCTTTAAAGCCAAAACCAAGAAACCTCAAACAAATTTAGTGGCTGAAAATCTGGCTTTGAAATGCCTTCAGCAGGGAGAGGTTTGAAGCACTTGGGATTTAGTTTTTGAAGAGTGGAATGCATGATGTGCACAGTGTGAGCTGGTGGCAGAAGCCCCAGGTATTCCCATGCCTGGGATTTATTGTTTGTATTTATTCACTGTTCCCCTTATATCAAACAAGCAGGGTCTGGTTTTCTTTTATGCCCCCCTCCCTCCTTGTGCAGATACAGAATCACACAGAATCCCAGACTGGTTTGGGTTGGAAGGGACCTTAGAGCTCACCCAGTTCCAACCCCTGCCACGGGCAGTGACACCTTCCACTAGAGCAGCTTGCTCTCATGGTCCTCCCAAAGCCTCAGCATCTCCCCATAGCTGGATCCTGAGCAAAAGGGGGGGAATCCCTGAGGACTCTCATGTGGGGGCACCAGGAAACGTCCCCCAGGGTTTGAGCAAGCAGGTGAATAGGAAAAGGTGATGTTGCACCTTGTACAGTGTGAGGTTTTGGTCTGTGTTGTACCAGATGTCCCCGTGCTGCTCTAACGCATCCCCTCCCCATTTCAGTTTCAATAGTTTCCTGCCCGTAGCGGGCTGCTAGCCGGAAAGCCTTGCCACAAAGGGCTCAGCTGAATCCCTCCTTAACCCTTTCCTGGCAGGAGAAAGTACTTTTAGTGCCTTCAAACACATGTCAGTGCTTAAAAGCTCATCTTTTCAGAGCTGAGGCCCTGGCATGGGGTGCAGCAACCCCTGCCTCTCCCCTCCTTACCTCCTGCTCGCCTTTCCCCTTTAGTTTCACATCACTCCCGAACTGGGAGCTCTCCAGAACGGGGTATAAAGACCTCTTTTTTGGGGGGTGCGTGTGCTTAACATGAGAATTGCCACTGTGAGTGTATTTTCCCTTCATCCTCACAGTGTAGTTGTGAGCTGAGCCTGATGTCCCTGGTTGCAGCAACGGTTGCATCCTCCTTTTCTCACTGCTGCTGTCACCTCGAGCATCTTCTGGCCCCTTGGCTAGAACCAAAGTGCACATAGAGGTGGCTTTTGTCACCATTAAATGCTCAGACATGGGGCACATGACACCAGGCTGCTGCAGGGCTGGTGACACTGGGTTTTCTAAGCAGGTATTTTGGCTTTGGAGGATTCCCCAGCACATTACAGCAGCTTTAGAGATGCTTCCCTGCAGTGCTTTTACCTGTAGGGTTTCTCCTATGGAAAGAAAAGGGAATATTTGCAATGTAAAGCATGGTGTGTGTGCTGAAACAGGGCTTAATTCTTAGTTTGGCTTTGAAGATGTTGTTTCTGTGCAGTTGAGCCGTTTCCCAGTGTCCAGACTGTTCTCAGGGCTCGGTGTTGCTCCTAAGAGAAAACATTCCAGAGGTGGGATCCCATTGTCTGGCAGCTTTATCACCAACAAATATAAAGCATGGAGGGAACGTGCAGGAGAGCAGCTGCTGTTTATGACATCCCCACATTGTCTGGGGCTGCTGTCCTGGGAAGAAGACAGGGGAGTAAAACCTGCTGTCGGTTGAACTGATTTGTTAGCACAAACAAGGTTTGTTGGTGACCTTGCTAGGGTGCAGCGGCTCCAAATCAGGAGTGTTTGGCCCATGGCTGGTCCAAGGGGGTGGTGGTGGTGGTGGGGAATCGATGAATTTTGGTGTATTTGAGTTATTTGGATGCACAATTTCTATGGGGGATTTATTCTTTTTATGAAATGAAAGACAATGACCCCAGACCCCAGCCCATTCACCTCCCTGCCCCATCTCGGTACTTGCCCTATGGCCCATCCCAGGGGAAAACAGCCCCTCTCCTTTATCTCAGCCTTCATCCAGTGCACTAATCCTGACACTAATTCCCTGTGCTTCATTACAGTTTTGGCTCTTTCTTGTCTCTCCTATGATGGGTTTCTTACAGCAAAGTGTTTGGTTTTGGGGGGCTGGAGCAAAGCACTGGGGTAGAACAAAGAGGTCTACAGACAAGAAGCAGGACCTGGCTGGAGCTTCATCTCTGTTGCAGCAGGGGTAATTGCAGCTGTAAATGCCAGGCTGGAGAAACAGCTCTCAACAAATAAGGGAAAATCCAGTCCCTCTCTGCTTTTGGGGCTGCAAAAGGTGATCTTTGGGACTGGGAAAGGCTGCTCAGCCTCAAGCCTGGTCCAACACAGCCAGTACTGCAGTAACGGGCTATAAGGGCCCTTTGGGGATAACAGGATGCTGGGTGGAAACGCCTCAGGACTCAACAAGCCACATTTTCAACATGATTTATTCCAGCAAAAGATGCAGCTTCTGCAGTATTTCATTAGGGGGAAAAGCAGCGACGAAAACAAAGCATTTCAGTGGGTTAGTGCAATGGCAGGTAGAACAATCAAGTGGGTCAAGTTCTCTGTTCTAAACTGCTCTAAGATGTGGTTTGTAGGGCGAGGCTGGGGGCTCCGGCTGCCTTCTGCAGGTGCAGATTTACAGCTGTGATTCAGCTGATGCAATAGCACAATTGAGGCCCCGGACACATCGTGGGGTACCCCCAAGGTACACACCAGCATGTGGAGAGCCCGTCTGCGGCGTGGAAAATGCTGCTTTTGAACTCCATGCGCCTGCATGGATCTAAATGAGGAACTGTGTGAATTTCCTGCCATTTCCTCTCCCCCCCCTGTGCTTGGGGGGGGAGGTTTAGGGGGAACCGTGTGTGTTACAGATGTCAGATGTGAGCCCCAAGTGTGATCTCCCCCCAAACCCCAGGTGCTAATGGGGTGCACAGCAAGTGGGGGGGGCACTGGGGGGAATGGGGAGGATGGATGCTAAGCGGACAAGCTCCAGCTCTCCCTCTTGAGGGCATTTGGTGCAAGCAGAAGTGAGCATAAGCGAGCGTGACTAATCCTGGCCCCCCCAAAACAGATAAGGGGCAGCGCACCTGCTTCCCTAATCAGTGCCGAAAAAGGGTAAAGAAAAACAAGGATAGTGTCCTTGGGAAGACAGGGGGAGAGATGAAACATGTGCAGGAGGGAGACCCGCCATAGAAGTAAACAGGGGCATTATCAGCCCCCAAAACCGACCTGCCATGGCTATAAAAACCAGCAGGCTGAGACCCTGCAACCACCTTAACCTTAAAGGTGCTTCAACCGACCGGAACTCTGCCTCGTCTCTCTCCAGATCCCCAGGACTGCCAGGATCCATCCAAGGATTGGTGAGATCTTATTATTGGGGTCCTATACACCTCTGCTCCCTTTCACCCCTTCCCACATCCCCTCCCCTTCCCCTCCCGGGGACCCCGGTGGGTCGCGGTGGCCACCGCCATTCATCCCTACCTTCCCTTTCCCTTGCTACCAGGTTCTGCATCCCCCCCTTTCTTTTGGGTGGCTTTTGGGTGGCTTTTGAGTGGCTTTGGGGTGGCTTTTTGGGTGGCTTTTGGGTTGTGGAGCTGCAGCTTTCCTCTGCGGGTGGGTTGGCGGTGTTTGTTAGGGTAGTTTCGCCCTGAGAAGGAGCCGTCTCACATCTTGTCCCCATCACTATGATGACCGATATCGTTAGCAATTGGAAGCTGGAGCAGTTTGTGCTCCAGAAGTGTCTCCCTCCGGTTTGGTCCCCAGGGTCCTTCCAGGGCCCGGAGGCGTACCAGCAGCTCTGCCAGCAATGGGAGAGCTGGTCGGAGGAGTCCAAAAAGCCCAAACCCACAAACAAATGCAAGAAGCGAGCGGCTCTGCAGGGGCTGTTGATGGTGGGCAGGGAGTTGTCGAAGTTGCTGAAGGAGGCTCTCGAGAACGTGCAGACTTTGGAGCAGGCTAAGGGCGAGCTCAAAGTGCAGGTGGACAACCTGCGTGCGGAGGTGCAGGGTCTGTGCGGGGACTCCCTGCGGAGCGCGGTGGAGATCACCCGGCTGGAGAGCAAGCTGGGCTACGAGAAGCTGAAAACGGAGGAGCTGGAGAAGGAGGTTGGCAAATGGATAGGGGAGACCCACGATGCGCAGAGCGCGGTGCGGGCGGTCCTGCAGGATGTCCAGCGGGACCGCGGCACCGGTCCCGATCACAAAGTGTGCCATGCCAAGATCCAGGAGCTGCAGGCGGAGCTGGGGGTGTCGAGGGGTATCGTGGCTGCCATCCAAGGCAAGAGGGGCCGGTTCGGGAATAGCCAGGGAGAGGACTCCCTGGACCCGCACCCTCCCCACTATGACTATGAGGATGATGTGTGGGGTGCCAATGGCCCCACCAGGCCGTCCCCTTATGCTCCTTTGCGGGAGGAGATGTGTCAGATGCAAGGAGGGGAGGTGGAGGCTTCCAAACCTAAAAAGAACCCCCCCGATGAGCCCGCCAGCCATGGGCCTCTGCAGGCCATAGACACCAACAGGGCTGTGCTGTGGTTCACCCCCGAGCAGCTCAAGACAGTGGGGAAGATGCTGGGGCCATTGACAAAGGAGACAGCGGTCAACTGGCTGTCCAGGGCCCAGCGGCTGCCCCGGTGCCAGAGTGGCAACTTAGTGAGTGACCTGATAGACGTGGTGAGGAAGTGCATGAAACCGGATGATTTTGCTGCGCTGCCGGGGGATGTGCAGATGGGGAACGTCCAGGACATCGGGGATGTCCAGTTGGCCGTGCTCAAGGTGTTCTTCCCAGAGATTAACCCCTTAGTGCTGTTCCACCAGGAGAAGCAAAGCCCCGAGGAGCGGCCCGATGCTTATGTTAACCGTAAAAAGATGCTCTATCAGATGGCTGGGCTGCCCGGGTCGAAGGAGTCCCCCATTGATTTTGACAGGCCTGAGTTCAAGGAGCCGTTGGTGGTGGGGTTGACCCCCCCACTGCGGGTGATTGCTGGGGGGGATGCAGCTAGAAAGCCATTGTTGGAGCTGGAGCAGATCCTGACCCAGAACTTTGAGCTGCAGAAGCAGGCGTTCCCGGGGTACATGCCGGGGGGGAAGAAAGGGAAAACCTCAGCCATGCCCTACCAAAACGCAGGGATGAGAAAAATGCAAGGGGACAACCGGAAAGATCCCGATGGCAAAGGCGGTCCAGGGAAGGAGAACCAGCAAGGGCTG